TATTTAATTGAAAAATAACCTTAGAAATAAATGTTCCCCCTGGAGTTAATATGCAAGAAGTTATGTTGAAAGCCTTAAAATCCAAAAATTAATCAAAAATTTAAATTAAAATTCACAGAGAAAACCAACTGGCTTTGAAGATATTCATCGAAGGCATGCAAACCAGTTACTTAAAAATAAAAAGAATTTGTGAAGATAGAAGTATGAAGATAAGGGATCTAAAAACAATTGAAGGGGTAACTGAAAAATACTGACAACAGTTAAAGCAACCGAACCCATTTGACCCAGTCGAAACTCAAACTCGCTAACTCAACCGCAACTGCACATAACCCAAGTACTTAAAATAGTATATCCTATGTGGTGGAGTAAATAATCCAAAGTCACTCTTTGCGGTTAATAAGGAAAACACCCAATCGTAAACTCCTCTTTAACAGGAAAAATAATATCATAGCAAAAAAAAATAGAAACCGTCCGGAGCTCCATCACAAACAACCAATTGTGCTAGTTGGCCATCAAAATGAGAAATAATTTTTTCAGCTGTTGCATCCTTAAACGTTCTCATCTTTATTTGAATTCAGGCTATCAAACCTCTGTTATATCTCCTTGGATTTGAATAACTCCGGGAAGTGCTGACATTGGTTGCTTAAATTTTAAAAACGTGAAGTCACCAAAAGAATAAAAGTACCAAATCAACAGCAACAATTTTGACCTGTTTGCGCCCTTCTTCATCCTTGTTTAAGTAAAGTTTCGAGGAAAGAACCTAAGAAAAGGGAATAAAAAAATTTTTAATAAAAAATACTTGACTCCAGGATCCCGGAGCGGCACACAGATCAACAGCGCGAGTCACATCTGAATAGAGAAAATAGAATATTTAGTATCGGTAGGAAATCCTTAATGAAAATTAATTCGGCCGTATGAACGGGTTGAACGACGTATTAAAGTTAGTCAGGAAGCAGGGATGTGAGGGCACTTTCAAAAAATATGAAAAAAAATTCGGGGAAGAGCAAGTGACCAGCACAGCTGCTTGAGCCTGAACTACCCAGACAACCACAATTAAACATCCATCCCATTTAACAAATAAATTAACAAACCTTTAAAAACATTGAATGATTCATCTAGTTGTAAAAGTTTAAATGCTGAACGTGCTCGCCAACCCTTTTCTTTTGCTAAGCGATAATAAATATCTCTTTTGTCCTTTGAAGTTTTTCCCATCGAATTAGAATAATTTAACTCTAAAACAATGTAAATGTGTAAAAAAAGTAACCGAGGTTTGATAAATAAACAAAAAAAGAAAAAAACTAAACAAGAGATCGACTTTTATTAATAGAAAAATCAAAAAGAGCTTTCCAAAAAGGATAGCATAACGACAGCCATACCAGAAATGTCACGGGTTGAAAAAAGTCGGGTCGGGTCAAAAAATCCGGATTCGGGTCTTGTCAAAGTCTAGGGTCGGATCAGCTAGTAGGATTAAGAGGAAAAAAGTCGAGTCGAGTTTTCAAAGATTTTTCGAATCAGTTTCGCGTAACCCACGACATCCCTGAGCCATACGTCTCTAACAAATAAAAAAATAATTAAAAAATATCCAAATTAAATGCCGTCAAATGAATATGTCCACCAATTCTGCTTCGTGCAAACTTCTTCAAATGAGCCAGGAAAAGTATAAGTACAATCCAAAAATTTTGTGATGTTCCTTTTGAAGGTTGAAATACAGTTACACCACCATCAATAACAAATTCAAAGGTTGGGGGAGTTGTCTCATTCTAAAATATTATTTAACTATTATGTTTAATAAATTAAAAAATAAACCATTCGTATAAAAAATTCTCCATCATCCTCGATATTTTGACAGGAAGCATCTTCACCACGCAACAAATTTTGTTTCTGTTTTTTAGCAACAATTGCGGGAGGGAATAAATCAGTTAAATTTGAGGATGAAATTGTGACAGGCGTGGTTGAACTTGAAGGGCATTTTGCACAATACAAATTACTGAAAGGTTTGTTTCCAATATCAGATGAGAATGCAGAGAATGCGCTTGAACAGGGAGATAGGTGAAAGTCCATATAAGTACAAAAAAGATGCCAAATCAGTTCAACATCTGTCAGAAGCTTTTGTTGTTCATTCCATGGCAAAATTCGAGAGAAAGCTCAAAAGACGAATATATTAAAAATTCAAATAAAACAAGATAGAGCTTCCCCCTCCCTCCCGAGTAAGGTTGGCGGACGGTTGGAAATCTTCAGATAACCGGATCCGGACCATAAATTTCGGATATCCGGATCCACCAACTACTCTGGGGCTTCTAATCCAGAAAAGATTAAAATCCTTACCATCTTTTTCGTCTCTAGCAATAGTATCACCACCAGAATTCCTGAAATTAAAAGAATTACATTATGCAAAGAACTAGTAAATAAAAAATTTATCAGACTTTTCAACGAAACAATTCAAATTTGCTTCATCCCCATATTCCCTTATAAAGAATAAACTAAATTCACCATTTGTATTCCTGAAGCGCAATATTTTGCGAAAAAGAATGAATCCTATTGACAACATATTGTTGATTTTGATGAACTCTTATATAAGGTATAATAAATGGCAAAAACCTGTAAAAATAAATTTAAAAAAATTAATTGAGAAAAAAATCCAACGTGTTGCACAAATCTGTTCGATGCGCCATTGCAGTTTGAATTAAATCGATTGGCGTTTGCCCTAACGTAATGTTCATGTTTGCATGTTTTTCGGCCAATTCAGAATTCATTTCATTAATTTTTTCACTCAAAGGTTTTATAATTGTATTGCAAAGCCAAATTCTCAATTTAAGTTCGTAGAGTTCCAAATCAGCTTCATTTAATTCGTAAACATTGAGAATCTGAGAAATTAAAATTTCGGAAATTTATAAAGCAAAAAACCTCTTTAAGACGTGTCTCGACATAAACCTTTGGTACAGGATCAGTAGCAGAGAAGGAGCGGCGATAAGTCCTTCTTTCAGTTGCCAAAGGTCTACGCTGCTCTGTGGCATCCTCAGAGTCAGAAATAAATGATTTAATTGCTTAAAAGAAAATTTTATTAAATCACAAGAAAAAATAATTCAAATTTAACCATCAAGAGCCAAATTAGATTTCAAATCAGCAGAATTAGCGATACCAGGGTAATAGAAAAATTTGGAATCAAAATCCCGATTGAAAAATGCAGTACAATCAGATGGATCGATTACTGAATCACAACTAAAAAAATTTTTTTTAATTAAAAAAAATAAAAAAAAATTAAACGTTTCATTTTCAAGCAATTGTCGAAGTTGTGAAGTTGTGTGAACACTTGTAACGCTTGTGTTAAGTGGCGAATCGCGATAACCAACCAGTGATGAAAGTGAAGAGTTTCTCAAACTATCAGTAGCGGAAGTGGAAAATGTAAAACTAAAAAACTTTAATTTTAGAAACGAGCTTCAAAATACAAAAAAATATATAAAAACTATGCTAATAAATCTCGGGGGCGGTATTAAAAGAATGGGGTAGCTGGTTACCGACCTCAGTTGGAGTTTAGTTAACCAAGACCCCCTATTCAAAAATTCGGGTGTAGCGATAAACCATAGATGTGGATTAGCTACTCCGGAAATAAAACCTTATTAAGTTTTATGAATACCGCCCCAGAAAGCATATTAATATCTCAAAAATTTACTTCAAATCCTTTTGCGGTTGTTGAGGCAGGCTCGAAAGACGAAAGAATTCTGAAGTGAACGCAAACAAAGACTGGATACAGTCTGCCCGAACGGATTCATCTAAAGCTCGAGAGTCATCACTTTTAAGTTTTTGAGCGTCCAATCTAGACTCTACAAAAATTAAAATAATTAAATTAGAAGGTAAACAAACTGACTTTCTGACAAAATTTGAGCAATAAACAATTTGTAAATAAAAGCCAAATAAACAACAAAGCAGAAAACAGCATTAGCAACAGTAACAAAAAGAGCAGCATACTCAATCAAATAAATTAAAAAATCAGGAAAGAGTCGATAAGTTAATCTTCGAAGAAAATAACCCTCGATAATTTTCAACTACTCAAGGAAAAAATAAAAATAATTTTAAATAGTAAGGAAACCTCAAAAAGCAGAAACACACTAACACAAAACCAATAAAATGAATGCCTCAACTGGTGAATTCCATTTCCATTAAATTTTTTGGCAGTTGTAAATTTTTTTGGAATCATCTAAAAAAATAAATAACAAAATTTGCATGATTAAAATAAGAATTGATCAAATAATCATTAAAAATCAATCTAAAGAATTGAAAAAATTTATCAAAAAATCATGAGCTAAATTCAAAATTGTTTGGAATTGGTGTTATTTGATTTAAGGTCGATGGTTCTTCTTCTTCATCCATTCCAATTTTAAATATTTTCGCACGCCTTGCTCCTGCTTTAGTTGGAGTCTTTTCTTCCAATACGTTCTTTAGCGCAATAGACTCGCAATCTTCTTCCGTTAATTCCTACATAATAAAAGAATATAAAAAACTACGAAAAACATCGGTTACTGTGTACAAAAATTTAGTGTTGTCTTGATACCATTTGATAGATGACCACGAAAGTAGATAGATTGCGAAGGTAGATTTGAATGGCCATAACTTGGCCCAGAGTCATTTTGCAAGATAATAGATAACACTTGGCAATAGGAAGCCGTGGTCCTCTATCAAATGGTATCAAGAACAACACCAAATTTCTGTACACAATAACCGATCTTCCCTTAAAAACAAACAAAATATAAACCTTAAGATTAGTCAAATCTAATTTTGAAGAATCCACACATCCAAATTTTTTGTGCCCATTCTGTGGAGTATTTTTGGAACGTATATCGCTTATTGAAATTGATTCAATTTCATCGTCACAATTGTCAGTATTTGACTTTTCTGATGAAGTGGAATAATTGTTAAAAAATTTAGCTTTCTGTTGCTTCGTAACAATTCCACCATCCATTTTTCAACAAAATTTGATGTTGTTCGGGTAACTCCTTCTTAAGTTACAAAGTTTTCAAAAGTGCGGCTATAGTTTTTTCCAGCACTGTATCATATCTAAGTAGAGACCTACCACCATCCATTGGAACAAAATCACAAAGGGAGCGGTGTTGAACTAACCACTCTGCAACTGTATCTTTGTAGAAATATTTGAGAAGTAAATCTTCAATCTTGGGCCGAATGGAAGAAATAAATTCGTGTTCAATTTCGTGTCGTTTTTTCTCTTTACTATTACTTTGCTTTTCTTCAGTAGTATTTCCACAACCGTTGTTTTCATTGAATAACACTCCCAATTTCCATATTAAGACTCTGACTTTTTCCATCTAAAATTTAGAGGACATATTTGATTTTTGGAAAAATTTTCAGTCTTTCAACTGTGTCCGAAAAATTCAAAACCTCTCAGGGATGTGACTACTTTTAGGATAGATATCGAATCAAAGTAGAATAGGGACCGGAAGCTTACGCATAAATATATATATCAGTTCTTCATGGAGAAAATGAATCCCATGAACAAATTAACCGAATGAAAATACCTGTTTGTAGAGATCAGCACCAGGAAACTGACATTTTACAATCTGCGAATCAAATGTTCGAGGAAACTTTTTTCCTTCAAATATTAAGTCGTCTACATTCGTTTGACAGCCAAGTAACTTCTTTAAATTATTGAAAATATTTATAAAAATTATTAAAAATAAACCTTTATAATTTCCAATTTTGTTTCTTTTTCTGTATTAGTCAAATCCTTTTTATCACTCCAAGTTATAAGAAATACAGATTGAGCCACCATTGTTGGCAAGCCAATTGATATAAGTTCACAAAGTGGTGTTACATGTGAATAACGTTGCCATCCAGTTAGGACCATCCCAGAGAGACGACCAGATAAACTCTATAGTAAAAAGTTTAAACAAATTATTTTAAAGAAACTATGATTTTCTATTCGCAGACAGACGCTTTCTCTCTAGTTTACTAGACTCCAGACAGGATTCTGACAAGGGAACCTTCCGAATTAAGTAAAAATTTTCAAATGAAACCTATACCAACGTGTAGAGCATGGTCGATAATCTATTGCCAATTTTTGGCCCCGACATTTTTGGCCTCTCTAGTTCAACGAGAGACCATATCAGGCAGATTTTAACAGACGCGGGTAAAAAATAAGAAGGCAAATATAAAGGAAATTTGTCTACGCAGTAGCTCAGTCGGTACAGCATTTGCAAAGGCTAAGAGAAGCCTTTAAAGAACTGCCATTTCCTAGAAGATCCAACCCTCTAACATGTTTAAAAATAACCTTTTCATGTTGATAATAAAGTTTCTTATAGGAAGCCAAATTGCTTGTATAATGCCCAACATCAGCAAATTGTTGAACAATTCCATTTGCTCCTTTAAATGCACTTGCAAACATAACTTCTTCAAAAACCTAAAATTTATTCAAAAATTTTAAAATTAAAAAATCGTTGAAAACCTGACTTAAACGCTCAAATAATCCATCAGGGAAATAACCAGGAAAAGTTACATCAGGAATATAACCCCAAACCATTGGAATTACTAATTCACCCATCTTGAATTCCTTCATCAATTGAACACTTATTTTGTCAAACTTAAAAATTAAGGTAATAGATTGTTGTTTGTGTGCGATATTTCCCACTATTCACCAAATCTCTTTTTTTTATTCAAATTTCTGTAGTCACGACATACTCATTGGCGATAAGTACTCATTTCTGTGTGTTAGAACTAGGCACATAGCCAGGAAAAATTTTCGAGGGAGAGGGCCAGGCGGGGAGAGGGGGACCACATGTATACGCCGCAGCCGAAATTTTTGAGAATTATGGAGGACCGAATGCCGAAAAATTTTTAAAAACAATACAGGACCGTGGATTCTAAAGATCTGATTGTGAGCTAGGCACTTATCGCAAAAAGTAACGTTCTTGACTTGTAGCAAATTGGTTCAATAAAAAAGAAATTGGGGAACCTAAAAAATGTGCACACAAACGACACTATTGTCAAAGTAAAATTAAAATAATTCAAACCATGTCATTCCAAGTATACACTCGTTCAAATGAAAACTCGTCTTTGGCAATTCTCGCTACTCTGAATTTAAAATTTCTTTATTTTTGGGTGTTTAAAATTAACTTTCAGACTTTGTTATATGATCCAGCTTCAACCTTTCTTTTGAATTTTCGAAAGTTTTAACTAGTTGCTTTTTACATAATTTCTCTTCAGCAATATGCCAGGCCTCATCGCATCCCAAATGAATAGAATTTATTGTTGGATGTAATTTTCTGATCTGAATAGGGATTTAAAATGTAAACCAAAAAGCTGTGTTTTTGAGAAGACGGGAATTTTGAATTTTGTATGTCTCTTTTATTTCCTCCCCGATCTTCCTTTATACTATATTTTCGGCAAGGTATATGAAGCAAAAAAGGATTGATTTTGGGAGGAACTAGTGAAAAAAGAGGGCATACAAAGGCCAAATTTCTGGGAAGCCTAGAAATTGTAGGAATTTTATTAAGAAAAATTCTGAGGAAAAGATTAAAAGGTTTTAGGGTAATTCCAAGGCTGGTCCCCCCCCCCTTTTTTTCTGTTCCCCTGACCATTTTGAGCTTTTTTGCTTGGCATATAATTTTCAATATATCATTCGAAAGAGCTGTTAGAGCTGAGTAGAATGATACTATGATAGGTTAGATTTGGCGAATCTGAACAGATTTATGAAGCTAAATCCTCGAAGGACGTGCTTTTTGTGATGCGGAAAGGGATTAAAACAAACGCTCATTTCTATGTTTATTTAAGTCGGATTTCGATGAATCTAGTACCGTTCGACTCAGCTCGAAGAGCTCTTTCGAATGATATGTAATTTGCCATAAAAAGTTTAAATAATAAAAAAAAATAGAAAGGAAAAAAAAGGGGGGGGGACCAGCCTTGGATATAATCCCAACATATTACAAAGTATTTTTCAACAAAATTCAAACCTGAGCCAGAAGTTCCCGTATCAACCAAATTGAGCGTTCATTAGAGGGACAAATAGTATTAAATTCAGACACATTTTCACTTAACGAAGCAAACTCTGAATGTTTCAAAACAAATTCCATGTGCCCAAATGTTTGCACTAAAGGGATCAATTCCAACCCATTTTCATTTAAATGCTGAAAATAAATTTTTGCAATAAAAAATAACCAAACCTTTTCTATTAGATGAATTGTTGTTGCGTTATAAGCAGAATGCCGAGCAAGTTTTGATAGCTTATCAGTGTAGGGAAACATATCTTCGTACTCCATAAGCACAGCATTAAAGCCAAGACGTGCAAAGAAGGGGAATAATTCAAATAAAAATTCTGGTCGAGGTGCTGCTCCTTTCAAGTCAAGATGAATTATACGCTTAAAAAGTTAATGATTGTACATATTTGTTAAAATTTGCAAATTTTATGGACCCAGAAGGTCTCCCCCAAAAGATCAACTTCTTAGTGATCAAATGACCCTAAATATCAATATTTGGAGTTGGCCTCAGGGTATTTGCTCTTTTGGAAGTTCTGGGTGTTGACCTTCCGGGTGACACAAATTTACAAATATTTTCAATTTTTTCCCACCTTTTTGAAGAAATTCGAAGAAGTTCCCTCCCCACTCATTATTCGTGTTACTTGCGAATTGTAATCAATATACAAATATCGATAAAATGTAAAAATAAGCAGAATAATTAGAATAACTATTAACGATGTTGATCGAAACGAATTTGGTTTAATCAGTTGCCATCGAAAATTTTGTTGTAAGAATACACAAATATTTGTAATGGATTTGTTTAGACTTCGACATAATCTGTTTAATATATTTTTATTTTTATTGCCTTCATTGGGCTCATGAATTAACGTGTAATTTCCTTTAGGATCAAGCATTTACATTTTTTATAAAAAATGAAAAAGAAATTTTTAAGCTAACGAATCACGGCAGGCTAATTGGGACTCTAACTGTCCTGCAACGAGGAAAAATTTCCGTGTCTGTACAAAAGACCGGTGCAAAAAAAGACCGGAACGGGCAAAAATTGTTAAAAGACCGGAACGGGCAAAAATTGTTAAAAGACCGGAACGGGCAAAAAGGGTTAAAAGACCGTAACGGCCAAATATTGGTTAGAAGACCGGTGCAAAAAAGGCCGGAACGGATTACATTATATCAAAAATTAATTGTCATAAGGAACAAAAATTACATTTTGTCATAAAGGACAAAAAATAGATTTCGTCACTCAATAGCGAAAATGCTACAGTATCATTCTACCGTTTTTTCGATTAATTCCCCTAGGGAATTAATATTTCAATCAATCCGTTGGATGGGGCATTATTCGAGTTTTGACATCTGAACATGAGTAGAAACTTGGTGGAGGGGAATTATTGTTTCAACACATCCCTGGCATTAGGAATTATTCGAAGGGTGGGGAATTAATTAAAGAAATACATACGGTATTTCTACATTAACAATGTATTAATCAATTTTCTTTAATCGTCAGATCAGCTTTTGCTTTTCCTAAAAAATTTAATTTCAAAATTCTAAATTGATGGTTTGTAAGGCAGAAAAATGAATCACATCACCTCAATGTGTACTTTTCAGATAGAAAAAATTAATCATGGATTCTTAACTTTCATGATTTAAATAATTTTTTTCTCCAAAAAAAGTCTTTATTTTGAAAATTTTTAAAGGATAACAAAATTAAATTTCAAAACATCTTTAGCATACCCCTTCATATTCAACCTTTTTATTTAAAACAGGGCTCGGATTCGTACTTTATTTGAAAGTACAGTACTTTAAAATCGACCTCCGTACTTACGAAATTGAATTTGTACTTTATTGAAAGTATGTACTTTAAAATCAACATTTTTAAAAAAATGGAAGAAATCTGGCTTAAGGACCTCCAAATTTCTCAAAATTTTCGCCTGCGGCGCAAAAAATGAAGAAATCTGGCTTAAGGACCTCCAAATTTCTCAAAATTTTCGCCTGCGGCGCAAAAAATGAAGAAATCTGGCTTAAGGACCTCCAAAATTCTCAAAATTTTCGCCTGCGGCGCTGAAAATGGGAGAAATCTGGCTTAAGGACCTCCAAATTTGTCAAAATTTTCGCCTGCAGCGCAAAAAATGGATTTTCTGGCGCCATCGCCGCCACAAAAAGTGCATTGTAATGCACAAAATGCTAAGTTGAAACAAGAAATTATTAGAAAAGATTAATTTAAAAGAGAAATATAAAAGATTTGAGCACGAATATATTTTCTAATTTAATTTTGAGTGTACTTTAAATGTGGAAATTTTGCCCCTATGTACTTTAAAATCAAGATTTTTGTACTTTTTATTGGCATTTTGTCGATCCGAGCCCTGATTTAAAACATAATTGGACAACACGATTAACTGTCACATGGATATTGAAATAAGAGATTAGACGATTTAGGAAGATTAAATTATGTTATTATTCTAGGGAATTAGTAAGAAATTTTAATAGTGAAAGAGAACAAGTACATAAAAACAAGTCTGAAATCATAAAATATTATTTTCCAATCACTTCGTGATAACAATTCTTTTTTAAATTAGAAGAATAAAATAGCCAAAATAAATTTACAGAGATTTTCAGACACATAAAAGAAAAATGTATCGTGATCTACAGCCGTGCTTCAAGTACATTTTTGTAGCAATTGTTCTTGTTATAGTTGGATGGAATAAAGAGGCGAGGGTTAAAAAATCAGAATTTTACCTTTCACAATTTTAGGCTTATTCAATGTCTATGAATCAATTGGGATTCGCGATAAACGAAACACTTACAGATGACGCTATTCAGGTTCTGGCTAATAAAAGTGCGGAAGCAATTACCCCAGCCGTGTACACCACAATAAAAGATGCTTTTGCATGTTTGTAAAAAATTTAAAAAATAGAGAAACAAATCCTTTGTCTCATTTTAAGCTTTTGCTCCTGATACGTGGGTTAATGCATTGGAAAAGGTCAGTTGTAGAAACCTATTTCTAGAACAGAAAACAAGTTTTTTACCCACCGAACTCACCCTTTCTCTCATTTAGCTAAGCTATTAACATCATGAGGTAATCTATTAAAGTTTATCATAACAGATCAAAATATCAACTTTTCGCTGTGTTGTTCGTGAAAGTACGTTGATTGGCTTAAATATTTACAGCAAAATAGTTTTTATTTGTACACATTAAAGATATAATTTTACATAAATTTAGAACTCTACAGATTCCACTTTAGCTAATTCTACAAACGATCAGGTTATCAGATAAACTCTTTTCCCAATAAAATAATCCCTTAAGGTGAAGGCAATATTATCTTCCATGAATTACACTCAGGATCAGGTAAACATATTCCTCCGTTAAATCACCTTTAAAAAGGTACTATCATTACTGGCTAGCACATGTTCTGATGGCTGGGATGAAATACTCAATCTTTGCCATGCTGTGAATGCAACAATGAGTCAATTGCCTCCACACATTATCCAAATATTTTCAAAGGTCTCACATTTCTGACATTAACCCTTCCAAAATTTTCTCAGTTTAATTGTTTAAATTACAGTATAACGACTCAAGTATGGCGCCAGAAGATAGTGAAGTAGGCCTAATTCAGGTTCCTCTATAGTAGAAGAATAAAAAACCAAAAACTTAAAAGGATTTTAAAACCATTACACCTGACGAACTCGTTCAAATGGGGGATTTATTCCCCAAACTTAAGTGGCTATTCAGCCTTAACTTTTACAAACTAATGGATTTGTTAGCGCAAACTGTTCAAGGAAATGATGTAGCAAAAATGAAATTTGAACAATTGGGTATGAAGATGTATCAGAACAGAAATAAATGTTGAGGATAAATACTTATTAATTTTTTCGATTAAATAAATTAAATCTAAATACTTTATATTTGTTAACTGGAAATATAAAATCTCTTAGCTTTTTTAAATTTACTTATTCAATTCTACTCAATACACTTGTATAACAGACAAACACGGGCAGCTTACCCTTAACTTTGTAAAAAAAGCAGTAATGACGCGCTTAGGTTTGTCTCATTTTAACGCTTGATTTAATATTCAACAAAATTGGGCCGTTAAAACTGCCCCATTGAACAAAAAGAAAGCTTTTTTCTTCGAAACTCAAAGCACAAAAAAGGTATACTAGAACGGCACGCGCATAACTAAAAACGCAAACATTGTTCTCTCACCCCCTATTAGCATTTAAATTTGTTTGCGTGAATATTTAAAAATGTCAAAGATTTTTTATTTACGTGCGTGGGATAAGTGAGTAATTGTTTTAACAATTAAATTTCAAACCAATGTACACACTTTAATTTGAATATTTGTTTGTTTTTATTTTTTATTTTGTCGCTTTAATTGTTTAAATTAAATATTGTTTTTTTGTCAACATCCGCGCGGCGTATATAAATTTAAAGAAAACATTTAATTTCTGATTATTTTTCTTTTATGTAGGGGGTACTAAAGTAGAAAGGGAATTTTTAAGAAAAAACACGATACCCTCATCATACCTAACAGGGATCGGCTGTTGCCTGCTTCTGCTTTCGCGAATTTCGCTTTTTTCGACTCTTCTGCTTTAGCTTTTATTTTATTTCGCTTTCCTTCGCCTTTCGTCTTTCGATTTTAAAATACGACAGGGCCCATCCCTGATACCTACTTTACTAATACCCCTTACAAGATATCTCCACATTTACATATTTCGAGCTTTAAGGTAATAACCAAAATTTTAAGTTAAAAAAGGCAGAAACAGCAAGTACAAATATGGTTTCCAGGGAAATGAATTTAAAACTATGAAAAAAATTTTAAGTGCTCAAGTTCACTTACATAAAAAAATAAAGTGGAAATTCGCAAAAAAACTCAAAAATCTTTCTTTTCTTGTAATAAATTATTATCCCAAAAAAGGGTTCAAAATCCTATCTGTAATTTATTAAGGAACGATTTGGAAGATAGACTAGGATAATAAATTTATTTTAATACCAAGAAAATAAATAGAATCTAATTATTTTTACGTCAATTATTAACTACAATATTCTTCTTTTCCCCCCTTTCTAAAACGGGATTTTAAATTTATTGTGCGCGTATTTATTAATTGTTCCCTTTTTTATTTTACATATTCTCCGAATATGGCATTCATTTATTCCCTGAATTGTTTTCCTAAAAGCCTTCAAGGTGTCTCTTTTTATACACAAATGCTTAAAAAAGCGCATCGTTATAGCTTGCTCATTGATGCTTAGCACTGACAGACACTGGCAATTTTGCAATTCAATGTTCGCTGATGCTTGTAATAAAACGAAGATTTATGAGGCAACGGGGAAACAAGCTTTTTAATTATTATATGCATGCCATAATATCTTTAAAAATCATAACAAAAATATTTTTTATTCTGAATATTTACACAAAGATCTGTTATCTGTTTATACTAATTAACTTTCTTTTGGCACATTTAATTGTTTAGGAAAGTAGCTGCCCAGACTAGTTCCTTGCCCCCATCTTACACGAAATCCCTTCCTCCCCCACTTTCATTTCTTTTTTCTTAACCAATTTTGGAGCGGATAGAGGGGCTCTGACGCAACACAGTCTTTACCAGCCTCTCCTTTTGCTATAAAGCCTTTAAATATTTTGCATTCCTCTTGGGAGTAAAAGAAAGCTGCTGACGTTTTATTATAAGTAAATTAAGAAGTATCACGAAATGAGCGAAATGAGCTAACCCAAACTAAGTAAACAAAAATTGAAATCCTTTATTATAAAGTACTACTTGTCTTTTAGTTTAATTAAAAATTTAAATCGAGGCTATCAAGTTAATAAAATGGGGAGGGGGATATAAGTGGAATAAGTCATATCAGGATATTTCAATGTACGACACTACTGATCTTAGGACCTACGGCCACTGGGTCTCGGATAAATCGTTGTCTAATTGAATAATAATTTTTGTTTTACAACGTAAACATACAAGAGGTTATTTTAGTTAACTCAATCCCGATATGTCTCCCTACCGTATAAGTTAGTCCATATATTTAATAAATTTTGGGTTCACCCATTTTCTAGTTATATTTTCGGCAACTTATTTTAAATTAAATTACTACATAAAATACATAATAATAAAATGAAGGGCCAATAAAATGGGAGATGGAAATAAGATCCTTTTAAGACGATTTAGTTTAGTTTGCTCAAATTTCTTATATCCCCTTTTCAAAATTGATTCTTTGGAGAAGCAATTTTTTCATCAAATTTCTTTTTTGGTAATTCGCCTAAAATTGCCTTTTTCTATTAGTATTTTATTTAATTTTGGGCTATTTTAGTCTACCTAAATCCATTTTTTCCAAAATTTCTTTAAATTTTTTATTCTTTAATTTAAATCCATTTGGCTGAATTAAAATTATTTTTATATATTTAATTTCCATTTTGGGTTTAAAATGGCAATTTACAAATTTTTGTTAGAAAAAAAACATTTTTCATTGTTTTAAAGAAAGGATTACGTCTCTTTTCTTAGAAAATCTTTGTTTAAATTACTTAATACTAATTATAGACATTTGAAGCCAAAAAAACAGATGCCAACTTTTTGTAAAAATTTTAATATTTTATACGATTACTTAAACTAAATTATATTTACTTCAAATAATTTTTTACCTGAATTCATTAGACTATGTGTTAATTGTAAGAATAACATTTAGTTTCCTGGGGAACGGATTTAAAATTTTTGCTATTGGAAAGGAAGGTTGGTGGGGGAGGAGAATGTAAAAATGAGTTGAAGTCTACTTCCTTCTATTTTTCCTATTTAGCTACTAAAATTAGCCTTCTTGGATTATATTCTTCCGAAAAGAAATAAATATAGGTTGGAATTTACTTAACTAGAAATCCGTTATATACCCACAAATTGAGTGCCATCCGACTTTGATCGGCTATAACTTTTTTGGGCTTGATCCAATTCAAATGAATCATCCGAAAGCCCTCACTAAGCGGTTTTTTCTAAATGAATTTAAATATCCAAACTTATAACACATTAAATGTTATAACCCGATAAATGTGAAAAACATCAAATACATACTTTTCAATAAGTGATCAGACTTGATCTACCCAATTAAAGAAAGATACTGCTTATCGTGAGCTTCCGAATGATATAAGATTCTTTGAATTGGATCAAGCCCAAAAAAGTTATAGCAGATCAAAGTCGGCTGGCACTCATTTTATGGATATAGTAATATAACGGATAATCAGAAGCTGTAAATTTTCTCTGATTTATAAAATCAACTATTATCTTTAATTCATAGATCACTATAAAAATACTAATTTTTTATTTAATCTCCTTTGAACTCTTTTGAAATCTCCTCCTAATCTCCTCAATAATCTACCTAAATTAATTCCACACACGAATTAAATGACGTAGTCGCCAAATTAAAGTTTAATTTGCTATAAAATCCTTTATCATTTGACACAATGTGCTTGTATTCTCCTCATGGCTAATGAATTTAAAAACAATCAAATGATGAATTATAGTATTAAAATAATTTTACAGAGGCGGGGAAAGAACTTTTTCATTCATAAAAATACAAACAGCTGACATACCTTTAACCAGACTTTTTAGCAAAATTTTAGTCAAAACAAACATATGCTTTTGTTACCATCACAGGGTTTTGGTATTTTCACATTAAACCCAGCCAGATTGCATATGTATTTTCGCAGCAAGTTTATTATTTTCTTAAGCCTTACCCTAAAGTTCATTTATAACCCTTCCAGATGGGCGACTGAGAAATCTTTAATAGAGAGAAAAAAACAAACGAACGGAGAGAATCCGCTAATCCACTAAATCTACCATAATAAATTATATTTCAAAATTTATATTTTCGCTTAAAAGTTCTGAAAATTGCCTCAGAAAAACCTAGTCTTATCCTTAGTCTTATCCAATACTAAAAGGTAAATTTTTCTACGGAGAAAATTTATCTATATTAGTTTTTAATGCATTACCTCCAATAAATTAGCATTAACTTTCATTTCACATTTCTAATTAGTTAAAATTCCACATACTACAAAATCTAATCTACCACTACTACAGTATCTTATTTGGTAACGCTAATATTTTTCAGTTTTTTACAGCCTCATACTTTAAAAATTTCTATTTACTTTCAAAATTAAAATTACCGGAAATGGGAAGTGAAGTATCCCGTGTTCAGTCAAACGGAGAAAACACCAAAAAACTAAGCAGCAGCGGCGGAAATGTTGCAACGAAAAAGATGTCGCGTAGAATGTCAATGGGAACTACACCCATAAAAATGTCAGACCAGCAAACTACACCATCAATTAGAGTTGGTGGTTCAACAGGAATGCTCACAGTTCACGATAATGGTGATAAAATCTAAAACAAATTATTCTTAACCATTTTAACTCAGAATGTGAAATGCAATGTCTACAACAGCAGGTTTCACAATCCTCTCGTCTTTCCCTTTCGATTGATCCAATTGTTCCTCGATCTCGTTCTGGATCGTCTTCGAGCCAGTCACCGACTAAACCATCTAAAAATAAATGCTCATTATCGCTCAAAAATATTCAGCTCATACAGGTAAAATGGATTCAGAATCTCCTTGAAATTTATATCTAGTCCAAAAGAACTAAATACAAATTTAATCAATTTAAATTAATAATCAATCTTCTCTTTAGGGTTGCTTCAATAATCCACATGAAAATATTGGCTTCCGTATTCTAAAACGTTCTGCCGAGCGTAGGAAAGACTTTGGACGTTTCTATTCAGCAGTAAGCCTTGAACAACGTGAGCAAATTGCTGACACCATAAAAATTTTACTTAAAAACTCCGTCAATTGTCTGGACAGTCCAGACGAAAAAGTGAAAAAAGAACGTATTAAATGAAAATATTTTTTAAATTTGTAGCTTCAAGCAATGGCAATTGAGTTTGGTCAACGTTTTGTATGCTTCCGGGTGCAAGGATTCAAGGCTGACTATTTTGCTTCTTTGGCAGGTAACGGATGATAGAAGATAAAAACAATTATTTTGGATTATTTTTAAAGATTCCACAATCACTGAGTGTGTTTTATTGGATGCAGCTGTACATCCAGCGGCTGTCACATTAAATGCCTTTTCACAATTCATCACGATGGTGATTCAGAAATTTATAAAAATTCTCCATTAAAAAGCATTTTTAGCTATTCTCATCAGTACGCGATGGTTTTTACATGGAGATGCGACGACTTCGCCGTGTCAGTAACAGTTTCTCAACAGTTTCAAATGGGGCTGGTACTTGTAAAAAATTAAGTGTTGAAGACGCAATAAAATCTGCAGCAAATTCCTCACTTGTAGCAATGGGGGCTGGGGTAAGGAGAAGCAGCACTACAAAGGATGGTGATGGCTCATACAGCCGTAGAGGTTCAGGAGGAAGTGTATATAGCGCGAATGCAACCAGCTCACGCTCAGTGAGTCCAGCAGATGAAGGAGCCTCCAAGAAACGTAGGAGTAAAATGTGATAAATTGGTTAGATTTATATTTTAGGTGGTTCTTCTCCCTTTGATGGAAGCAGTCAAGAAGAGGATGACCACCTAACTAATAAAAATATTGTCAATGGGAATAGACGTAGCCATAGTCGCAGTCCAAGCAGAAAGATTTCTGTTGCTACGAACTCTAGCGGGAAAGAACCTTATAGGGTAAAAAACAATTTTTAATCGAGGCAATTCTTAATTTTTTAGACTAAAAAAGAATCGAATACATTAATCCCTGTCGAGAATGGTTCAGAGGAGCAACAACCTAGGATGACTACAGCTGTTGCCCACTAGTTTAAAGAAAACTTACGAAAATCTTTTATTTAAAATTTTTAAAGTAATAAAAGTTTTAAAATTGATTGTTGAAGGCACGTTTAAACGCATCAACACAATTTTTCCTAAATCGCTAAAAATATAACATGTACCAGGGATGGGCCCTTCCAAATTAAAAAAAACAAGGCGGAAGACAGTACAAAATAAAAAACGAAAGACGGAAGCGGAAGGGTAAATAAATACTGAAGCGCAAGAGATCCCATCCCTGATATCTTGAAGAAAAATCTCTCAAGCAAAACTCTAAAAAATATTAAAAATTTATCATAAGCTATAAAATTGGATGAGCAATAGAATTCCATCTAAAATGATTAAAAACCTTTCACTAATTTTAAACGGATTCAAATTTTTAATTCACTTATTGAGGTTTTCATTCAATTTTAAGATTGAGGAAAAAGTAAAATTAAAATTATGCAGCAAAAAATTACAACATGGAAAATTATTATTTTGAAGCGTGTAAAAATTATCAATTTCAGCATAAAAATTTCGAATATTTTCTCAATAAATTACTTCAAATTTAAAGAAAATATGCAAATGTTGTGAATTATAGGTGGTTCGAATGAGAAACGAGTTATTTGTATAATTGAATCCCCCCCCCCCCAATGGCCTACCCACTCCCTTCTCTTTTTCAATTTACAGGGGTTAGTGAGCCCCTGAATGTCTGATTAACTTACTTCATGGAAAGAGCTCTTCGAATGACAAATCATTTATCAAAATCATTCCAACCAAAAAACCCCAACCTATAAGTCAAGATACCCCATATGCTGAAAGTGATGGTCAATAAATCAAAAATGTTATATGTATAAATAAAAATAAAATATTTAAGAACCAATGAAAAGAAAGCATATTCTGAAATATCTCCTTGTTGAGTGAGTACCCAAATTTTTCGTCTTGTTATCTTCTGTCTGTTTGACTTCCAGTATACTTATTAGTTATATGATTTGTTGATATTGTCGATGCATTGCTTGAAGATCGTTGGTGCTGTCGAAATTTTGAGTGGAAATTGACATTGTTTTCTTCACTTCCACTGCTAAAACCAGAACCAGTAACTCCATGCGCTTGAGCAACTTCCCTCAATGAGCTTATTGTTTTACGAAGCCAAGCCGGGCGATTATCATTAACTGAATAACTTAATAGGAAAATTTTTTTGTGTTCTTTTAATAGAAAAAACCTTCCATTCTGCAACAATGTGCTTACCGACATCTGAAAATGAATTATAAAGAAAATTTTGAAAGTTAAAAAAATATACTTGATGTGCCAAATCCTGATTTTGACATTGTGATTCAACAAGCGCTAACTTTGTTTGAGCTAATTCTAATTCAACCTGTAATTCATAAATTATGTGGTCAATAAAATAAAATTAACCTGACGAATATGTTGCTCGTACTGCTGTAACTTCTCTACTAGTTCCATCATATGCATAGCCGATGTACTAATAAATTTAAAAAATAATTCATATGCTTAGAGAATACTAACTCGTTCGTTGCCGTGGTTGATCCTACTGAACTCCCCTCACCATCATAAGTTGATAATAAACTGCTAGGTCTTTGAGAGTTGCTGGATATGTCAAGACAATCTGCAAGTTCATTTGAACAACGATCGCAGCCAGAAACTTTGGACTAAAAAAGATTGAATGCCACAAAATAGCAATATTAATCTCATACCGCGATGAACCGTTTAAGTTTCTTGAATTGACGCTTATCCTCATCACTCGCAAGACCAAGTTCTGTACAAATCTTTTTGTATCTAAAATTACAGCTTAAAAAGTAATCAAATTAAAATACATACTCAACAATAACACCCTCAGATCGACGATATTCTTCTTCTAACCTAGCAACCTCATCTCGACATTTTTGTTTGATCTTGAAAAAACGCAAAAAAAAAATTGAAAAAACATCTTATGATCTTAAATTAATAAATTAAAATATAAAATTACAAATTCAGATTCTTCTCGTAGTTTTCGTTCCCGATCTGCCAGTTCTTCACAGTCGCGATTTTTTATTATCATTTGATTAAGGGTTGTCTCCAATTGATCCTCAGTCTGAAACTTTCAGAATTAAAACAAAAAGAAAAAAGTAAACCGTATCAAGACGCTCTTGTAAACAAATTTTTGAAGTAACTTTAAAGGGAAAATAAAACTCTTGAGGAATAAAATTCAACCTAGTTCACGAGCCAAATAATCATTCTCACGTTCCAATCGCAGAATTTGTTCCTTCAATCCTTGTGACTCACGCTGAAAAAAATCCGTGATAAATTTGACCAATTAACAAAAAACTCACTTGTGCACGTTCCAATGGATCTTGTGACCTTACAATTAATAAAATTATTTTAAAGAAAATATAAAATGCTCACTCAATCTCTTGTCGTTTAAGCTCATGCCATTCTTTCTCATACTTGGACAATCGTTTGTGAGATATCTAATTTTCATTTCATAGTTAAATTTTACAAAGCATACCTTTAATTTAACTGCTGCGTGTATGAGTTCTCTAGCAGCGATTTCTGTCCGATATTTTCTTGGCAAATTTACACGGAAAAATTTTAGAATCCCTTCAAAATCGGAGTGTAAAAGTTCCTTAAAGCAAATTAAGCCAAAATCATAAATAAAATAACCTTATTTGAATCCTTTAATAAAGCCAACGAGATATGAAATATTGTATTCATTCCCTAAATTTAATTATACGAGTAAACAACCAAGAAAAAGAATACCTCCGCGAGAAACAAATCAACAATGAAAAAAACCATTTGTAAGGGAAATTTTGCTGTAAAGAGGGTAAGGAACCATTGGGAGGCATACCTGAGTAAAATTTGATTAAATAAACAGTTTTAAGAAATTACATGTGCGTTTCTATGCCGATTTCTTGGAAATGAGAATACAATTCATGCGCGTAGTCCTTGAAGAAAAAAAAATAAAAAAAGTTACAAAAAATCATAACAGATGCACCCACAAAAACACATGAACGAAAAATTTATATTCAATAAAATACGCAAACCTTTATCAAACATTGAAGTTGGTAAAATCTTAAATGGAGTGCATCAAATCCAGTTTTGAATAATTCACGCATTCCGTAATCGAACATTATGCGGACTAGCACACAAAAGGCTTGCTCTTCTGGCATCTGAAGTATATTTAAAAAAGTTAAAAATAAAAATAAACATGCAAAAGAAGCGCAGCAGCGAGAAAGGAAAGTCCTTGACAATAACCGACTTCATCATCATACAAGGAATACTAAAAAGCATGTCAAGTTTTATAAAATGTCAAAAATCATTACCGCTTTGCTAATCCTATAAAGCGCTTTTTGTCCTCCCTTATCATTTTCTTCTGTAAAATATTCATGTGCTGGGAATGTTCTATGGATATCACGAAGGATGATAGATTCTGATGGGCACTCCTAAAAAATATCTATCTTGCATATATACAAAAATAGTAAACCTTTTCCAGCAACATTTGATAAGCTTGCACCAAATCTGCTTGAACTGGTCCGATGCGTGCGAGAAGAAGCCATACTTCACCACGCAAAACATCGGGTATTCCATCGTGAATCAGAGAATTAAGACCATAAGGCCTTCTGCAAAAAAATGTAAAAATCAATATTTTTAAAAGAATACCCACTGTTCAGGCGTTTGCTTCCATAAATCTATCATTTCATTCCACGCAGCCAATCTGTCCTCAGAACATTCGCGACAAACATCCCCCGAACCAGAAAGCAAAGGCTCGTCGCTATCTTAAAAGTTTTGATAAATTTAAATGTGGCCTAATTTACACGGATTTAACGGAATTCACTCAACTTTTAAAAAATTAAAAGATATTTTAAACCTGAATCGGATCCATTTGCAGGGTGAATAAGTTGGGTTGGCATATGGCGCGTTGGGGATCTCTCCATGTCACCGTCAAATGCTGTAGAAGAAAGTTGACGTTCTCGTTCTGTTGTCGATTCAAAAATAACAACTTTCCTAAAGAAAAAAAGCTACAAACTGATTCAAAATTAAAATGGGATGAAAAAATTTTTCTCCGCTACAAATAAAAATGACAAATAATTGATTGCTTACAATTGGTCATCACGATTAGCATTGCATGGATCAGCTGAGAGTTCGTTCATCTAAATGCATGCAATTTTCATACAAAAAATGCTTTTTAAATAGAAATTTATAAAATAATTTGAAAATGTCACAAAATTTGTTGAACGTAGTCACAATTTTTGTCGTTTTAACTTTGATATTTAGAATTTCGCTATTTCGTATTAATTCCAGTTAAAGTTAGACGACAAAACATTAGAGAGTACAAGACAGACAGCTAGAAAACATACCCACTAGAGTCTAGCATTTACTTTTCATTTGTTAAAGTTGGAAAAGGTTTAATAAAGTAAACACAAAATAGTTAATTAAAAGATTTTTAATTACTGTTTTTTGTGCCAACAGTCTGTAAGTTTCTGACACTGCCCTTCGTGGCGGAAACCAAAATCTAAATAAAAATTAAATTGTAAAATTAACTTAAAAATTCCGGACCGTTCATATTGTTGAAAAATTCTGGCCTTGCACTCAATAATAAATCTTAGTGATTCGTCAAGCCCTTCAAAAGTAACATCAACCTCCAAAAATTAACTTAGTTTATAATGAAAATTAAGACTTACAGCTACAGACATGAACACTCGCGTATCTAAATTTTTGAATAATTTTTAATTTTATTCATTTCTACCTCTTGGAGTTTCTGTATTTAACACCTCAAAATTCCAGGCGCCCGGGTTCCAACGTGCTTCTATAACATATACTCGAGGATTATGCTGACCCTTAAGAAAATATTATTGCTTTCAAGCAAAACGCAATTCACTCTTACTTGCCCCGCACTTTTCATTTCGAGCAAATGCCTAAAATCAATTGGAAAAATAAATATAATTGTTACGTTACATGTCTGATTGACGTAAGTTTCTGCCGGGTGCCAGCAACATTCCAAAGCAATTTTTGACCCGCAAATGTCTAGGTCCTGCAGTCTGCTTCAACATGACCAGTACAAGTTTATCACGATCGCGCCGCATCTAAAGAAAACTAGGATTATCGTGGACTCGATTGGTAATGCCAAACTCGCCTTAAAGCAATTCCTCTCCAAGGGACAAACAAAAAATCCTTGTTGTTCAGTATCAATGTAACTACCATCATTGTTGTTGTCAATGGTAGAAGGAGATAAACGTCTTGTCGCGGAAGGAGATAAACGTCTTGTCGTATTCGAGGTCGATCTGAAATTATTAGGTCTGCTTGCTATTCTCCTTTGACCATCCCTTTCGCGGATTTCTAATAATGCCTCAAATTCAAATAACTCTCCCGTCTCGGATTCATTTGGAATTGTCTGGTATTGAATTGTATTTGATGTTGAAGCTTCCATTGAATACGTCGAACTCGATCTTCCTGAATGTCTTTATGTCTGTGGTGGTTAATGCAGAGGAATGAAAGAGAAGGATAATGCAGTGAATAAAATTATAAACGGCATTAACTTCATAGCGAGATTGTAAAACTAACGAAATCTAAGAAATATACTCTAACGTTCAACTTTTTCATGCAAATAGAATTATTCCTTTCATTTTCAATTCTTTTACATTCCCATTCTAACTAACACTCGCTCACTGGCAGGCTTAATTTTTCAACCCCACATACTACTAGAGAAATGGATTGTAAGAATAAAAAATTTTTACGAAAAAACTATTAAATTTACATTAGAAGACTTCGATTTTTTTATTAAGCGCGTTTTTACATTTTCTTAATATTTTATTTTTCAGTTCTAATTAATTTTGCTTAATTATTCGTTCTGTTTAAACATACAGCAACATGTCTTACATGCTCCCACATTTACATAATGGCTGGCAAGTTGACCAGGTTATCGATTTTAATTTTTTATCAATTAAAGATTTCACTAATCAAATATTAAAATATAGGCCATTTTGGCAGAGGAGGATCGCGTGGTTCTTATACGTTTTGGTCATGACTGGGATCCTTCGTGTATGCGTATGGATGAGGTTTATTTTTAAGACAAATTTTAATCGAATTAATCTTTTTAGACGCTCTACAAGATTGCAAATAAAATCAAAAATTTTGCAGTATGTTATCTCGTAGGCATGTTGGCTAGGTTATCATTTTCTAATTTTTTTTATCAATTAAAGATATTTCCGAGGTTCCTGACTTCAACAAAATGTATGAGCTTTATGACCCTGTTACTGTGATGTTTTTCTTCAGGTTTCTAAAAATCCTTTCAAAATCTAAAAATATTTTTTTGTTGTAGAAATAAGCACATCATGGTTGATTTGGGCACTGGAAATAACAATAAGGTGATCTATTTTAATAAAAAAACGAAGCCTCGAAAAAAAGAACCTCGAAAAATTTCGGGGTTATCAGTTATTTTCGCCAAGTTATCAAAACGCTTGAAATTTAGATCAACTGGCCTATGCATGATGGTCAAGAACTCATTGATATTATCGAAACTGTTTACCGAGGTGCTCGAAAAGGAAGAGGTTTGGTGATTTCACCAAAGGACTATTCTACCAAGTATAAGTACTAAAGAGAAGATTGATTTATGAAGCAATTTTGGTGATTGTTCTGGTATTTCGATAAAATGTAACTTAAATTTTGATAACGATAAACTTTCTTTTGAATCTGTCTACACTTTTTCAAAAATAGATTTTATTTTCATCTTACTTACAATTAGAAATCTAAAAATTTTACAACATTTTTAATCACAATTTGCAAGTTTAAACAATTCATAAAATTTGTAAAATCGATTCTTGTTTGGTGAAATGTTGGCTCTCATCTTTATTAATTCAAACCTGCTTATTTGAAAGGCAATTATTGATTTCAGCAAATGCCAAAGTGAAAATTCTGGCCATAAAACGTTTTCCTCAAAGTGTAGATATGTAAATTCGCGTAACTAGAAAATGATTATAAATAAATTTGCCACTGTTCATATGTTTTTAAAGTTAAAATCAAATTTCAAACAAAAGTGCACATCTCCGACACTTACTCTCGTAAGCATGAAGTCGCTTAATCGTCTCTCACTAGTCCTGACTACCTGAAATTTTTTGTATAATTTTTTAGTACATAAATATAAACCATATCAAGTGGAAGACATTTATATGTGTCCATACATTCATCAACAATACAACCATACTCACTAGTTTTATCGTGCTGATCACACTGTATTTTTTGTTTTGCTCCTTCCACCGCCCGAAAAAGCTCATTACTTGAAGTATATGCCAAACATATATTTAGAAAAGTGCTGTAACATTTTTATTGTAGAAAAATGTTTATTTTAAAATATAAACCTTCCTTTGTTCCTTGTAATTGCCTCAATTTGCGTGATCAGTGAGCGTATTTTCTCAGGCAGCAACTGAAGATCTCCAAAGAAACGGATGCAAACTTTATGGCTTGCAGATTCCTCACTATTTTTTTATGAATTTGAGGCTACCTTTTAAAATAACATGAAAACCTTTTTTTAAGCAAATCCAAAAGTCTAGTGAATTTGATTTCTGCCAGCTCCATAAGTCCTTTAACCTCTGATTCTGATCGTTTAAAGTTTTCTATACTAAATGCATAGAGAGTGACTTCTTGAATGCCCACATAATCACACCAATCCAATACCTGATTTAACAAAGGCTTAATTAAAAACTTCAAAAAACCTTTGTAAGCTGCTTAAATCCAAGCTCATGGCCCTCCAATACATCAGAACAATTATGCGCGCGAGCATACCTTCGATTACCATCCATAATAAATGCAACATGACGAGGGATAGGGCCCAACTTCAAAAATGTTAAATCAGAGGTTGTGCAAAGGAAAAACTAGAGAAACCTTTATAATCCAAATTGCCAACCGGAACCACCATGCAAGCTTCTGACGTTGAAACCAGCCGCATTCTCCGACGGCAAATTGTTCATCATTAAATCTATCATTGTTTATTTCCATCGGCAAAGCTACAATTAATAACTACAGAAAATAAAAAATCGAATAAAAAATCATAAGCAGATTAAAACGTAAAAATAGTTAATTCAATATTATACATAATACAACAGCCTAAAATCGTGTATTTTTTGCAAAAGTTAATCGGGTAAACCGCAAATACAGCCAGCCCAACGTACCACCGAGCTATAACATTGGGCTCGCGGCACGTTAGCCTCTCCCGAGTTTTCTCTTAAAAACCGAATTTGAAAATCAATAAAAATTTGAACAATTCAAACTTAATCAAAAAATTTAAACTTATTTAAAAGTTCATTGTAAAAATATTATGATACACAAATTGTTTAAAATAATTTTTTAGTATTCAACAAATACATATGTGTGGTGTCTGTAATTTTATATTTTAATAATGGTCGAAAATGCTCCACAAAATTTTTATTGGACAATTAACGAACATAAATTTTAGAATTACGGGAGGAAAAGCTTAAAAATTTCTATTTTAATATTAATACAGTTAGAATTGTCCAAAAAACTTTGAGGAATATAGAGATAATCAAAAAACATTAAAAATCACTGCCAATAGAATTAGTGAGGAACAGAAGCAAATGGCGCAAGTTTATACGCATCACTATTCTTTCTTCATTAAAAGCCAAATTAATTGCCTCCAGTCTCGCCGGTCTCACCAGCACCCTCTTGCTCGTCGGCAGCAGTGTCACTAGTCTAAAAAAAGAAAACTTTGCAAAATATTTTAATCAAATGACAACGACATTTACGGAACGATAATTTTGAATACCCAGTAATAAGTAATGTTAATAAAAATGTCTGGGTCACAGTACTTATCCCAAGTCAACAGGTTATCTATATCTAACGCAAATATCGGTCAGCAAACTGCCGACAAGAGAAAAACTAACCCATAATGTGAGGTTGTCGCGTAAAAGTTGCATAATAAGAGTCGAATCTTTGTATGAGTCTTCGTTTAAGGTATCCAACTCAGCAATTGCATCGTCAAAAGCCTGAAAATTTTTTTATAAATGGGACTTTTAAATATGGTTTCTATGGGACCCTCTACATATGACCGTCTTTGTTAAGCCAGATGCCGCAAAATTATCTTGTTTAAGAGTGGAAAAAGCTAGCCGTAAGCTATTAACTCAAGTTTAAAGAGAAGAGATGACCCAAACCCATAACAACTTAACAAAGTAAATTAAACCTGTTTGGCAAGTTGGCAAGCCTTATCAGGCGAGTTCAAGATCTCATAGTAGAAAACAGAAAAGTTGAGTGCCAAACCGAGACGAATTGGATGAGTTGGTTGCATCTTATCCTTGGCAATATCTAAAAAGATATTTTTGCTTAAGTTATATTATTTTCAACAAACCAAAAGCTTCCTGATAACTTTGTTGCGATTTCTCGACAACACCTTAATAAATGGAATTTTGAAAATTAAGATTAAATTAAACTAACTGTTCCGGTCATCACCAGTAGCGACCTAAAAATAATGATTTTAGATTCAAACTTGAAAAAAAAAGCTTACAACCTCAGCAAGATAACGATAATAGTCACCCTTCATCTTAAGATAGAACACCTTGGATTCGGGGTTTCCAGCTTTTGGGATAAGATATTTGTCTAAGAGATCCTGAAAAAATAAGAATAGTAGATGACCAATTCTTTTAAAGCCTACCAAAACATCGTGGCAAATATCGCGCAATTCGCGCTCAACTTTCTCGCGGTATTCCTTAGCCATTTGTTGCTTCTTTTCAGAACCTTCAGTCTTTTGCTCAATCGATGAAATAACACGCCACGAAGAGCGGCGAGCCCCAACAACGTTTTTGTAAGCAACCTTAAAAATAACAAAGATTAAAGAAAGCCAGGAAAAAATCAAGTACAGATAACAAATTGCGTTCTTCATTGGACAACTCGGCACCAAGTTCGGTAACCTTTTTCATGGATTGAGCCATGTCATCATAACGTTCGGCTTGTTCAGCCAATTTGGCGCGTTGAACGAGTTCTTCCTTATTCTCTGCCATTTTTTAGGTCGAAGTAATAAAGTTTAAAAGTTATGAATATGATCTATAAATAAATAGAGATTGTAACATTTTTCGAGAAGATTACAGGATTATCCGACTCTAATAACCCAAGGAAAAATATCTGAAGCTAAGTTCAGTGTGAGACCACCCAAGACTAAAAATAGAAAATAGTCACGTAAAATGAATGTCTTCACCGGACAGAATCTCAAAACAAGAAAGGATATTTCCTAAAATAATATTTAGGTTGGGAGAACTTTTTAAACGTCAGGAATACTAATAGTGTTTATAATCAAAAGGAACCTGGAGTCGGATGAACCTAAGGAGTGAAAGAAGAATAATTGTGAGGGAATGGGAGGAGCAAGGACCACTTCTGCCACACCGCTTTTGTTGAGGGACCACGCGCGCCACTATAGAGACTTAGCCAATATGTTTTCTTCTTTACTAGTAGGGGCCGTTACTCATTAAATAACTATGTGAAGAGAGAAACAAAGAATAAGGCGTTTATAAAGCAGTGTATGAATTCCAGGGACTATCACAAAGCGTCAACAACAACTTAAATAAATAAGGGGCCGTCTCTAAGAGGACAGCAATGGATGGAAGCCTTAGTTGTTTATGACTAAAAGCGTGCGTATGAATTCCAGGGACTGTTTTAAAAATATCAGCAAATGCGAGCATGCAACAAAAATAGAATAGGGGCTATCTCTCATTGAACAACACGACTAACATTGAGGAATTTGAGCAGTCAAGCAGCTTTTTATGTATGAATTCTGAGGGAAAAAAAGGAAATGCTTTTGTGAGTATCCCTCAAAATGTGCATATGCCGGAATTTCTGCCTTGATAATACATACCAATGTCGAAATAAAACAAGTAAGCATCACAGTTCCATAAAAGTTTATTGGATATTTTTCAATGAACTTTTATGCCACATGCTACCAAGATTCTAAAATTTAAATATAAAATCAGAGTACTTACTACATGTGTGTAGAGGTATTTAACAGAAAATTGATGAGCGTGAGTCATCGTTCGAAGATACTAAATCCACACATCTTTCCAGTCGAAGTAGAAAAAAACGAAGGATATACATAATTTGCGCTTAGTTTAAAAACGATACTACGAGTCAAAAACATACTAATGAAAAAAGTCATAATTTATCGATATCAAAAAATAAAAGCTTGTGAACGCCAAATATATAATTGAAAGAAATTCATTGAATTTATATACGGATTATCCTGCTTTTAATATCTCATGAGATTATACAGTAAGGATATAATCAGCAGATACAAAATACTTGAGGTAGCGTTTAGTTTAAAAACAGGATAACAATGAATCATCGTCATTTAATGTGTTGAGCACGTAACTTTGCGGAAACTATTACGCTAAGGGAAATAAAACAAAATTTCACTACTTGAGATATCCAACAAAATTCTCAACTTTTCAAAGTTACGCGCCCTCGATTGCTTTAAAATTTACACGTTCGTTGTGTTAAATGTCATCTTTAAAAAATTTAAACAGTCTCCTTTCCATTCATTTCTTTGTTCTTCTAGACAGAATTATATCCTTGACGTTTGGCACGAACACGTCCGATCAGATAAGCCACCAACACAATAATGACCAACCCACCAAGACAAGCACCAACAATTATCTAGGGGAAAATAATTAGATCTTATTTAAAATATAAAAATCTTACAGGCACAAGATCAGAAGTACGAGCATCCGCGGCACAATACTGATACGCTAAATTTAATAAGGGTTTCTTAGGCTTATAACAATGGTAATCTTACATTGCGTATTGTTGAAGGATGGCGAAGTCTGGTTCGCGAACGCGACAATCTGAGATTAAATAATGACTAAATGAAAATAAAAAAGCTAACCTTTAATTGGTTGAAATGAAGAACCGAATCCGTTGAATTCAAAGGGAGGTCATTTTGTGAACAAAGAAAACTAAAAGTAAGACATTTGACTCAAAAAAGAATTAGCTGAAACGTTAATTCTTACCCAGTCGGTCCATAAGAAGAATTGACAGATGCAGTCCAGTCTACTCGCGATTTTTTGGGTTGACCATAATAATGCGGAATTGTAACGTCTAAAATTAAAGACTATCAGCGATACCATTCGATAGAGGACCCCCGACTCCCTATTGTGAGTGGATATGTTTCCTTGCAATATGACTTTGGACAAAGTGATGACTTTATTGTGACTCGTTAAAGCTGAACCGGGTAATAGTCTCGTTTCCCAGCCCCATTTTTTCCTCCCAATTTTCTACCCTATGTTTGTACGGAATGGTCAAATTTTCCCCTTTCTTTCATCAAATTTGCCTTTCCATATTTTGCCTAAAAACAATCAAAAAGATTAATTTTTAATTCATTTCTTTCACAAGGATAAAAAAGTGAGACATGATGCCAAAAATTATAAAAAACATTTTCAATATTGCCAAATCGTTTTCGCCACAGAAATTCCGGGAGATAACTTTTATAGGTTCAGTGTTGTTGCTAGCTTGATGTCAAACGTAATTTTTCATATAAATCAATAGGTTTGAAATTCTTTAGTTCTTCCATTTTTATTAATTGGGAAAATGATTCTTCTCATTACTCTAATACTTATTTAAATATCACAAATTAATCTTTTTGATTGTTTTTAGGCAAAATATAGAAAGGCAAATTTGATGAAAGAAAGGGGAAAATTTGACCATTCCGTACAAACATAGGGTAGAAAATTGGGAGGAAAAAATGGGGCTGGGAAACGAGACTATTACCCTGAACCGCTAGTCTGGAGTCATAAGGTAATGAACCTATCAAATCCCCTATCTAATAGTACCAGGAATAATATAAAATTCGCGGTCCCTTTTTAGAGATAATATAAAAGATATTATCAAACTTTGTTCTGTAGAGTTCATGTTGCTGTAGAAAAAGACAGTCAGAAGGTACTCCTTGAGCATATAGCTGTGACCGTCATCAGATTTGTTAAATTCCAACGAAATACGCCTTAAAACAAAAATAATAAATTAAAAAAATATTTTCAAAACCATGGATAATTTGCCTCGGTCTCAGGAACAGTTGGTGTCATTATAGGAACAAAGTTGAAGGTCAAACGTTGAAGTTTTTCTCCACAAGTGCTAGCGTCCTTGTCCAAAGTTGTCTCTCCGGCATTCTCAGGAACAGCGAACTGACGTGTAAGAGTGGAGTTGTGCTTAAATATTTAGCGTTAAATAATTTCATTTCATTAAAAAACTTCGTCTTTGTATTGAAGAGTTCCAGTGATTCCAGCTTCAAATATCAGGCAAAAAGTTTTCTTGCTTGGTTTATTTGGAACTGACAAGTGAATACCGAAAGAACGTTCAGCAACCATAAAAAGTATTGCGGTGTAAAAAATTAAAAGTTTCATTTTTTAATTGCAAATATATTAAAATCTGAAAAAAACAGTAGAGACATAATGAAAAATTCTTGATTTAATTTGAAGACCTAGACCATATTCTTGCTTGAGTTAATAAAAACCGAGGAATCTTAAAACAAAGCAAATGGAGAATAAAGCCTAAATACTTATCCACGCTATGAATCAAAATTCAAAATTTTCCTTGGTAGCGTAAAACAATAATTAATATGTACAAATATTTATATGTTTGTTGACACCAAAATATAATCAGTGGGATTATTTACCTTTTCTAATGAAAAACGTTATCAAATTGTTGATTTATTTTTTTGTCAGACTCAAAATTAGAAGGAGACGATAGATAAGGTTAGCCAGGATACAAACAAAATTTTTGGGTAAGGGACGTTTCAAATTCGTTATTTAAGTCAATTATTTTTGGCCTCAACTTTTTTTTTGATTCTTGACCAATTTAGATAATTATTATATTAATCGAAAGCTCTGGATGTGCCGATTATTTTTCTAGCAAAGAAAAGCCGCTTATTTTTCTTTCAAAAAATAAGCTACTTCGGAAAAATCTGCCATGGTTGCGCACCAAACCGTCTTGTATTCCACATAAAATTCGAGTTTTCGTCCAAGTATAATTCGCCATGGTTACCTTTTGTTAACACTTTTTTTCATTTGCTTTTACTTTAATTTTTATTGTTAGTATATAATGGAAATGATAAGCGCCGGTGATGCCTTGATTGTGCTAGGATCTCAGACAGTATTTTTCATACTTGGTTGGCTATTTTTTATGAAGCAACTTTTTCGTGATTATGAGGTTAATTACTTGTGAGAATTTTTAACGTGAATCTTCGGGTATTTTTATAAAAGAAAATTTAAATTTATTCACAATTTTAAAAATTGATAAATTTTAAAATTCAGGTAGATCAGAAGGCAGTACAAATATTTTTTTCTGTAACATTTGCTATCTCGTGTACACTTTTTGAGCTTGTTATCTTCGAAATTCTAAATGTTTTGAGTAATAGGTTTGAACTATTAAAAAATAAAAATTTTTTTTGAATAATATTAATCTGGTTATCTCCCTCCAATAGATTAATAAATTTTCAAAATTTTTAGTTCGCGTCTTTTCACTTGGCGGACCTGTTTATATACGATATTGGTTCTTCTCATTTGTTTAATGCCTCTTTATTTTTATTACTCGCTCATTAGAATGCAAAGATTCGGTTTTTATTTGATTTTGGTGAATACTTCGAATGTGGCAATTTTTGAATATTTTTTTAATTTTCGATTTAAAAGGCCATATTCGAATGATTTAAATTTTATATAAATTTTAAAATTTAGTTCCACTTAGTTGGGTGATGCCGCTTACACTTATTTGTTGGCTAATAACTATCTATGCATTTTGGCGACTTGGTGATAATTTTCCAATACTTAGCGCTAAGCACGGCATTTTTTCAATGCAACAAGCTGTATCTAGAGTTGGTGTCGTTGGAGTAACAGGTTCGATATTTATAGTTAGTGGTTAAAAATTTATTGTCTTAGTAATGGCTAACCTTTCCGGCTTTGGTGCTGTCAATGGTTTGTGATTTTCTTTTTTATATAAATCCCAAAATAAATTATTTCACAGCACCTTATACTTGCATGAGCATCTTTATGGTTATAATTCTTATTTCATTCAATAAAATTTGGTGAAATAACATTTTAAGCGCCCGGTAACGGAGGATGACATCGCACAGCTCGAACGAAAATTGCGTCAGAATTTTGATATGATAGTTGCTAAAAAGCGTAAATTAGCATTGAAGGAGCTTGAACTCAGCAGAAGTAATTTAATTTCAAAACTATTTTATGGTTTTTAGCAAATGTTGAATCGGTTAGTCTATTCAAACGCGTAGTTGGAACATTCAAAGCCGCACCGACTGGAACATTGCGTGATCAAATAAGGTTTTATTTGTAATAATATTAGCAAAATATCTCATATAGATTGTTAAATAGTGAAATTTTGCCGTTAGAAGAATTTGGAAAGCATCTATTTTTGGAGCTAGTTGAAGCACATAATGCAAAGGTTTTTGGTTTACTCTTGCGTGCTTTTATTTTTAATATTACAGAATCGCGTAGAATACAGCAAAACTTGGCAGGGGATATATTTCAACATCGTGGGACATTTTTTCTCTATCTATTGTATATGGAAAATTATCATATGCACGGTAAATTTTTGTGAAATAACATGCGGTCGGCCTGACGTGAATCCGGGTCCCGGATCAACGTTGACTGGAATTTGGGTTTTGTGCCTTTTTCCTATTGTTTCAAATAGCTACAGATGTTTTTAGACTAATACCCATCTTTTATAGATTAATATTGTTTTTGATCGTGTTGGCAAGGTGGATCCAATTACAAAAGGAATGGCTATTGTCGTGCACCACATGGGCTATCAAATAGATGTTATTTTTAAATGTATTTACAATATTATTTTTAATAATTTAGGTCAGGTTCTGGTCTCAACAAATTTCTTTTCTCGTCATTGGTATAATTGCTGTTACATCGATTCGTGGATTATTGATAACCATTGCGAAGTTCTTCAATGCTATTTCAAATAGACAATCCTCTAATCTTGTAGTGCTTGGATTGGCTCAGTTGATGGTAAACTTATATTAGTTTTAAGAGGGGTAATCATGCTACAAATTAAGCCCAGTAGGTCGGAAAATCAATGGGGTTAACATAAAGCATATCTACATATTTGGCTTCTCCAATTTTTAAAAATCTTATTAAAATTTATAGGGAATGTATTTTGTATCAAGCGTACTATTAATCCGCATGAATATGCCCTCTAAATACAGGTAATATTGTGAAAATCGAAATAAGCTCTATCATTAACAGGGTAATAATAACTCAAGTGCTAGGCGAACTTCAATTCAATTTTTATCATCGTTGGTTCGATGTTATCTTTTTGTTATCTGCCTTATGCAGCATACTATTCCTCTATTTAGCACATAAAAGAACACCAATTAGATGATATAGAAAATGTCTAGAGCTAATATTCATGTATATTTCTATATTTATTCCGTACATTCCGACTGTTGTATTTTCGAAAAATTCCTAATTGTTTAAATTCTTGATAAAAATTATAAATGAAACGATTTATCAAGTCCATATATCTTGAAATTATTATGGACTAAAAATTTTAACTAAAAAATAAACAATAAATAAGAAAAATTTACGAATCCATAACTAATTCAATATCTTCTGGATCACGGATGCAGTTTGCCGTAAGAATTTCCGCACCTGTTTCCGTCAAAAGGACATCATCTTCTATCCGGAATCCAATTCCTTAAAAAGAGCTATTTTGAGTTATTTAATTCAAGTACCTCTGAACTCATTCCGAACGGCTGTATTCTCCGGCCTGATATAAATGCCAGGTTCAACGGTAATAATCACACCTGGAGGGCATTCAATATTTTTGGCGATTGAAGGGGTGTCGTGCACGTCCATGCCAAGGTAATGGGATACGTGATGAGGACACTCGAAAAATTAAACAATTTGAAATAAATTTGATGAAAAAATTACGAGTCTGTCGCATTCCTAAATAAGTTAAATAAAATTGAAACAAAACGGAAAACTAACTTTGATCAATTCCTTCTGTGACAAATCTTTTCGAAAGAAAACAATTGAAGATAAAGAATCTGCCATGCGCTCGACCATGTGTTTGTAAAGCTAAAATTATAATTGACATTTAAAGTTTAACTAATAAAAATTTAACTACTCTAAAAAATACTCTTGATTTTTGTCTTAAAAAATAGAAAACGCATAACTAAATTTCTAAGGTTCCGAGGTATGTTTTAAGGAATAGGTCTTGGAAATGGATAATTAAATACTAGGATACTCAAACACTAAATTCTATAAGTATTAAACAGAAACCTCATTTAAACGAAGCGGCCTCACAGTTTGAACATAATGCAGAAGTTGAGATTGTATATCATTGAGAACATCATAAAGTGTTCTTTGCACAGCAGAGAATCTTCCTGATGTTGGAAAGCATCTTGTAATGTCAGAAACATATCCATGGAGATCACAACCAGCATCTACTAGTACACAATCGGTTTTTCGAATAGGCTAAAAAAGGTTGATTGGAAAACTTATTTTTAGAAAAGGGTTATGAGTTATCCCAAACTTGTGGAATAAAACTTGTAAGTTATCACAACCAGTTTTTGCGAATATACTATTTCTGCGACTCATTTATGTGCATAGAACCTCCATGAATAATCCACAAGCAAATAAATTAACCATTCTATACATTCCACAGAAATGTTCCGCAAAAACTGGGTTGGGATAACTCACAAGTATCCGATATTCTTTTCCTTTCAAAAAAACGGACTAAATGTGCGAGCACAAGAAACACGGACCAAAGAAAATATAAAAATACTTTATTAGAAGAGATGTAATGGATTGTGTTTGCATTGTTCCCAGCAGCTACAACAGGGGGATATGCTAATCTATCTGCACCTCTACGTCGACATTGGTGGTCCAAAAAGCCAACAATCTTATTGAAAAATTATAATAATAAAGGTAAAAATTGCAAACATTGGATTCATTCCTCTCTTCACAGCATTCCCTAAGAAAATTTCTTATAATTTTATATAATACTAGTATTGAATTAACCTTAAAAGTGCATTTATCGACTCAGACCCAATCCTGCAAGTCTCACGCATCAAATCCTGCTCATGTTTAGATTTCCTCCAACGAAGTTGATCAATTTTATCATTCAGCGGTTGATGAGTTAAACCACCATTATATAACATTTGATGGATTGATCTTAAGTCAGGTTCATAAACAACTGCGTCCATTAAAGCATCAACGTCAACAGAAAGTGCCGCTCCATTTTTTAATACACTTGACATATATTTATGAAATTCGCTAATCGGAAGAACCTTGATTATAAAATTAAAAATGTATAAATGATGCTTTGGTGTTTAGCTAAAGAATTGAAAAATTAATCCAAAAATCTGTAAGCAAATCTCAGAATAAACTAAAAATTTGCCCTTAAAAATGTACAAAACTGAAACTTACTTGATCTACACCAGAAATAGCACGAACTTCGTCAAAATTCTGAGAAGCACCATCCCAAAGCACTTGGTGTTTAGTTTGAGGCTCCATGAAAATTACTTTAAATTAATTAAAATAAATGTAAAAATACCACTTTCTGAATGACCAATCAAAATACGAACACGAGGTTCGTCTATGCCGCAAAGATATCGAAAATGTGAGCACTGCCTGTATGAATGAGGCACGTCAGGAGCGCTAAAAGTTTTTGGCCGAGAGATCAACAGAGCAAAGACTGCAGGTTTGTCGACGGAATTCTCATCTAAATTTTTCAAAAACATAGACAATTATGAAATAGAACAAACATTTTTTGCCAAGAATTTCAATTAATTGCTGGCGGCGCTCCACATATTCAACAATTGGAAATGAATGTCGGGAATAAGTAGAACAATAGCGTGAGAAAAAATTATAGGCTTGTCTTACAAGCATTTGCAGCAGAAATCTGATAAAATTATGATTAAATGTAAAATTCTATGAAAAAAATTCTTATGGCAAAGTAGACTTTTGACAAAAGTCTTACAGAGTGAGCAGGCCACTCACAATTAGAGAGGGACACGCCCAAAACGGCGCGAGTCATAACGTAGTGACGAAATGGCGAGATCGAAGCGACACAAACCGAAACGGCGCAAAGCTAAAACGGCGTGTGAAAAGTTTTTTTCGACAGTTTGCGCCGGGACACGCCCGAGTAGGCGCGGCCAAGTAGGCGCGACGGATAGGCGCACTTTTTCCAAAACTGCCCTTTCATAGGGAAAAAAAATTATTAAGTGAAGCTCGATGATGTTTTTATTTTTTGAACTCTAAAAGATTTGCGCCTACTTGGCCCGCGCCTTCTTGGGCTGTCCCTTCGCCGTTTAGTCGTGCGCCGTTTCGGTCGCGACGTTTGCCCTGTGCCACTTTAGGCTGTACTACTTTCTCAGAATGTTTGCGCGTTGCTTGGGTTACGTTGATCGAAATAATATCCCAAGAGAATTTTGTCCATACTTTTCTGTCACCGTGCTGACCTATTATACTTTTTTTAATTTAAGGTTTTAACTTTAGTTTTCAAAGGAATTTGCCTACATCAACTACTATTACGAGGTGATGGGTTCAACTAATGACAATGATGGGAATGCAGATATGGGTTTAATTTTATATTTAAAAATTTATTTAGAGATACTTAGATATTTGCCGAGTCTGCCGCTTGACGGGAAATGATGCTCTTTACCATCCTTGTCTCTGCACTGGTAGCATCAAATACATTCATCAGGATTGTTTGTTACAATGGCTAAAGTACAGCAAAAAGGATGTTTGTGAACTTTGCAATCATAAATTTTCCTTTCGTCCCCTCTACCGAGCTGACATGCCTGAACGTTTACCATTGAGGGATTTACTGCGAGGTTTATTTTAAATATTTTTCGATTCAAAATTTTTTTTTGTATTTTAGGAATATTTCTGATTGTTGCTCGATTCTTGCGACTCGGATTTACTTACACTCTGGTCTTTACTTGTTGGCTAGGTTATTTATCTTCAATTATTGATCTTTATTTATAATTTAGGCCTAGTTCCCTTAATGGCGGCTCGGACTCATCGACTGGTTAATTTTTTTTATTAAAAATAACGATTTTAGACTCCACTATGAAATTCGGAAAATTTAATTTTTTAAGGTATTCTCCGGATTTATTTCATCAATATTTTCTTCTCGGTTTCTTCTTTTATTTTCTGCTGAAAATATTGCTATGGATATTATACGTGGTTCTCTTGTTGTTACTTTGTTTCTATGTACATTTATTTCATTAGTTTGGCTTCGTGAACAAATAATGGTTAGTTTTTTTGTCTTCTATTAATGCATTTAACAATTGATGGCTCATCTATATCTTTATTTTTCGTAGGTTGGTGGTCCTCCAGATGTCCTATATCTACCCGATGATCAGCAAGTATCAGATCCAATAACGCCTCGTCCACAACAAGATCAACAGTATTTACCAGTCAGTGATGAAGGTTTCGATAAATTTATCTTGTCTTAAATTTTTTTAATTCAGAAAATAATCCAAGTACTTCTGCTTCACTTAATAATACAGAGAGTGATAATGCCAATAAACTAAGCGACGAAGGAACCTCAAAAACCAACAACATTCCAAATAAATCACTTCCATTACAACATTTTCAGCCAGTTCAACACGCGTTAATCCACGAGGAATCTAATTCGCAGAATCAACATCTCCCTACAGAAGCTGAAAATTTTGAAGAACAAAATATACAACAACAACAAGATAATGGTGATCAGGATGCAGCCATTCCTCCTGTTGCAGCCGAAGTGGTTGAACAGCAACGATTTGCTGATGAATTGACCTGGCAACGACTTCTTGGTCTTGATGGTTCATTTGCGTTTATTGAACATGTTTTTTGGACTATATCGTTGAATGCAGTTTTCAATATAGTTTTTCGTTAGTTTAGATTAGACTTTTAAATCTAAATTTCAATTTTAAGTATATTTTCCTTCACAAATTGGCGCCAGTATGCTTTCTCTTGTTGGGCTTGGCTATGGCAAAAAATTGATATACTTTGAAGTTCCAATTTCGATTGTAAGTCTGGCATTTTATAATGAAATTAACTTGTTCAGCTCATTGGATTACTGGTTATTCTTCTACATGGGATTGTCATACATCAACTTGCCAAAATTTTCCGCTTAAAAAGGTTTTTTAAATTGACAATAAAAACCATATGCATTTTTTTAAATTTAACTTTTTAGTATATACACAATATCTGGGATGATTTGTCTTATGCTCAAAGTTTTTCTTTTGGTTATTACTGAATTAATAATTTTCCCAATACTCTGCGGTTGGTGGCTTGACATCTGTTCTGTTTGTGACTTTTATTACAATTCGATAAAGTTATAAGATTACAGCTTCCTCTGACTGGTGTAACTCTGGATGATCGTATTCGAAGCTTCCGACACTACCCTACTAGTTCATTCTTTCTTCATTGGCTTGCCGGAATGGTTTTTCTTACAATTTATTGTTAATTTTGTTTAAACCTTAGGTTTACGTGTTTTATTCGGCGTCTTTTATGTTAATTCTTCGTGAACTTCTTCGACCTGGTGTTCTTTGGTTCATTCGCAATTTGCACGATCCCGATTTTAACCCAATTCAAGTGAGAGCTTAAAATATAGAAACTGGAAACTATTCTTTGATATATTATTATATAGGAGATGATCGAGCAACCAATAACGCATCATCTTCGCCGTTTAGTGGCGTCAATGACGCTTTTCTTTTCAATAATCCTTATTGTTGTTTATCTACCATTGCGTCTAATAAATTGGGGTCATCCATCGACTCTCCCATATGTATTTTCTGGGTAATTATTTTACTAAAATAATTATATTTCTTGCTGTGTTCAAACAAATCATTTCAGATCAGCAGACACTCCACTGGTAGAATATTCGTTTGAGCTCGTCCTTCTGCAGGTTTTTTCCTTTCATTTACTTAATCTTGAACATTTTATACTCATTTAAGGTAATTATGCCAACCATTCTTGAGTATTCGAAGGCCTTCTCGCTACTTAAACGAGCTGTCCGGTTTTGGTGTAGAATTATTGGTGGATGGCTTCAGCTAGATTCATATTTGTTACCAAGCGAAAAGGACAAAAACAATGTTGATCAACGAGAGCAGCAAAGACAAAGAGCTCGCCAACGTCTTATGCGTGGTGACCAGAATGAACAGCTTGGACTTTTGGAAGTTCTCGAGGCTATTGAAGATGACACAACAGATGACGAACCTGCTGACGAAAATGAAAATGATCACGTTGAAAATGACACTACTAATGCACAAACGAACGATAAAGGTTTTTAGTTATAATATAAATTGAATAAAACAAGTTTAATTTTATTAAGAAGCTTCTGAGAACTCTAGTCAAGTGGCTGATTCTTCTAAACCCGGTGAATCGAGCAGCGCAACACCTTTTAATACTGATATAGAAATCAATGCAGAACACGCAGAACCACAACAACACAATCCCAATAATGTAATGTTGAATGATGATATGCCAGTGCAACAACAGAACGAACAAGTAGAGCATCGCCAAGCTCGACAACGTGTTCAAGAGCAGCGTGAACAACGAAATTTGGGTGCACAGCATCATGCACTTTTGCATTTTCGTGATACCGCTTTAACTGTAGAATATGTTCGTCCTAATCTTTTTCCACTAAGGATTGTGTTATTATTAATTTGTTTTGCCGTAACAGCAATATTATTGGCGCTTGCAGCCTTTCTTATACCAGGTTTTTACTATTTTAATAAATAAGGGGAATTCTTGAGCTTATGTCATTTTCTATAATATCGAGCTGTTTTTTTGGCTATAGAAAACGGGCACAAAATTATTTTGTATCCCCTATCTTTTTAATGCTTTTTTACTGCGAATGTGGCATATATACAATATTTTAGTTACAATCGGGCGGACATTATTTAAGAAGTTCGCATTAACAAGCCAGTCTTCTCAAATCCGTAAGTGATATTTATAGTAATTTTCGTTAGTTTCAATTGATGCCAGTCAGTTTTTTATATGTATATAAAATGAAATTTAATACGAAACCCTAACACAAAATTGTGTCACTAATATTAAAAATTACAGATGATCTTTATAGTATTGCGACTGGAGTATACATATGTTGGATTTTAACGCGGCTTGTTTCTATGACCAAAGAATGGTTGCACAAAGGATGGAGCTATATGAAAAAGGTCTGTATTTTAAATTTTTGTTTCTGCTGAATCCAACAATTGTTTGCTTTGGCATAATTATTTTTTCAGGTGTTCAACACTGCTGTTTGGTTAGGTTTTCGAGTTATTGCTGCAGCTGTTCCTTTGCTTGTTGTTATTCCTTTCATGCTTGGATTCTATTTTCAAATGCTAGTTATCAGTCCACTTAGGGTGGTACGTATAAAATATAATTTTTTAGGATGTAATGTTTTAGTATCTTTATATTTTTCACCTCTTTATCCTTTCAGTACAAAATAAAGCTAAATAAAAAATTTTTTAGGCTATTTTTCAATCACCGTTATTTTTCCCATGGAAGGAATGGGCGATGGGTGTTGTCCATTTTAAAATAATTTGTGCATCTGTATTAATGGGACCAGACTGGTGGTTAAAAACTGCTTTCGAACAGGTTTTGTTTTTAATAGAAACTCATAATTCGCAATACAGATTTATGCTGATGGAATTTGGAACTTTCAACTAAAGGATTTATATATTAATATGGTTATACCAATCGGGAATGCACTTTCGTTTTTAATCGCATTCCCTTATGTGGCCAGCAAATTTATAATGCTTTTTGTTGGTGAGTAAAAATTGAATTGCGTTTAATTTTAAATATCCAATTTTAACAGAGGCAGATCGTGAAAATCAAGTGATTATAATACGCTATTCATATCCATTTTTTCTTGGTTCTATTTGTATAGTAGCTTTTCTTATCTGGCAATGGAAAAAATTGAAGATGTTGGCACAGAAAATTAGAAACGATAAGGTTAGTTTATTTTAAGAAATTTAATAAATACAAACATATGTATGAGAACTTGGTAATTAATTGTATTTAAATGATCAAAAAATTAAGTATCTGATTGGAACTCAACTAGTGAATTTTTATCGAGATAATACAGCGATAAAAACAACAAACCTTCAGGCTTCTAATATAATTGACGAAACAAAGAAAGATGAAATGATAAATCGGATTTAGTTTTAAATGTTATACGTAACAGCCAAATTTCCAGAATGAACTTATAACTTTTTTGTCTTTTTTTATAATTTTTGGATAAATATATCGTTTATGTATATATTTGTTGTGTGTATCTGATTTTAAATTCAGTTTATTTATTATATTTTTTCTCAATAATATTATCTTTATCTTTTTAGATTGCCAACGTGTTTGAACTGGCATTAACTGCTGGTGTATTATGTATTACTGGCATTAACTGCTGGTGTAGTATGTATTACTCACAGCAACATAACCTGCAACTTAGAGCCGTTTCAGTGGCACTGAAATAAATGAAAAATTTTCTCTTTTTCTATATCGCTCTATTTTTTTCGCATGCTATTTCTCTAAAGATTTGATGTATAATTTCGAGAAGCTTTATCTCGAAAAAAAACTTTGAGAAAAAAATTTCAACTTAGCCAAATCGTTAAACAAAGTCTTATCTTTGTTTTAAAACCAAATTTATTGATTTTTAATATGTTTAAAAAAAGTTACATATGGTTTTATAAGTAAATTTAGAAAATGAAAAATAAAGGAAAGATTGATTTGAAAAAATTTATTTTAATTTAAAATGACATTAAATGTTAATTAGAAAAGATATTATTAGGATTTCCTTATTATATAATTCATTTTCACTGAAAGGATTCGAACCTTGTGCATTTTTCGCTGTCACTAACCAACTAAACCATACTCCCGCACTGAAAGGCTGGTTGCACCCTCTGCCTGTTTTATGTTGCTGTGTTACTGGCATTAATTGCTGGTGTAGTATGTATTACTGACATTAATTGCTGGTGTACATATATATTACTGGTATTAACTGCTGGTGTACATGTATTACTGGTATTAACTGCTGGTGTACATATGTATTACTGTCATTAATTCTGTTCGTATGTATTACTGGTATTAACTGCTGGTGTACATATGTATTACTGGCATTTATTGTTGGTGTACATATGTATTACTGGCATTAACTGCTGGTGTACATACTTCTTACAGCATTAATTGTTGGTGTACTTATGTATTACTGACATTAATTGTTGGTGTACATGTATTACTGGCATTAATTGCTGGTGTAGTATGTATTACTGGCATTAATTGCTGGTGTACATATATATTACTGGCATTAATTGCTGGTGTACATATATATTACTGACATTAATTGCTGGTGTACATATATATTACTGACATTAATTGCTAGTTTAAACAGGCAAAATAACTTTTAATGGCAATGATGAGAATTTTAAATAATTTCTATGATTAAAAGCTTTCTCTGAGCCATTCTTAATTATTATTTTGAAATTAGAAATTTGGGCTACCTTAAACGGGTGGGGACGCCTCTAACCCTTTATTTTTACATCGTCACGAGAATGCTACTTGTTTAGACGAGAGTTCGGATGAAATGGAGGGGTTTGTTTAGTCTCAAAAATTTTTAGAAATATTTTTTATCGTTAGGAAAATGCGTATGGAATTGATCACGATGACATTGATGATGATGACGATGAAGTTATTCCTCCTGTTTTGAATTTTATTATAATGATTGCGATTCCTCTTTTTATTTTCCGCAATTTTTTTCGAAGTGGTGGCAGGTTTGGGACATACAAAATTAAATTATTTTTCAAAGTAAAGGCAAAAAGGGACGAGGAGGTATGCCTGGATCGATGGGAAATCTCTTCGGCTTCTCACAATCGACTGCCAGAGTTATTAACAAGGAAGATATAAAAACAACTTTTAAAGACGTGGCTGGTTGCGAAGAAGCAAAAATTAAAATTATGGAATTTGTAAATTTTTTGAAGAATCCTCAACAATATCGGGCGCTTGGTGCAAAAATTCTAAAGGTTAGATTTTTGATAACTTTTATCAGTTATTATGGAAAATTTTCAAATTTAGGGTGCACTTCTCACTGGTCCACAAGGAATTGGAAAAACTTTGCTTGCCAAGGCAACTGCCGGAGAGGCGAATGTACCTTTCTTCACTGTTTCTGGCTCAGAATTCCTTGAGATGTTTGTTGGTGTTGGCCCCGGACGTGTGAGAGATATGTTCGAAATGGCCCGAAAGAAATCGCCTTGCATTCTTTATATTGATGAGATTGATGCTATTGGGAAAAAACGAGGCGGTCGCTCTTCTATTGGAGGACATTTTGAACAGCAAAATACGCTCAACCAGTTACTTGTGGAAATGGATGGTATAATTTGCATTATTTTTTGAATTAAAAGTCGGAAATTTTAGGCTTCTCTACTGAGGAGGCCAATGTTGTAGTAATCGCAGCAACAAATCGATCAGATGTGTTAGATCCGGCACTTATGCGACCTGGACGCTTTGACAGACAAATTTTTATACCTGTCCCGGATATCAAGGGGCGAGCGTCTATTTTCCGTGTTCATTTAAAACCGATAAAGACTAGTCTGGATAAAGTGGAATTATCAAGAAAATTAGCTGCTCATACACCCGGATTCTCAGGTTTATTTTTTAAAAAAGCTTTACCAATTAATTTTGATTAGGAGCTGATGTAGCAAACGTTTGTAATGAGGCTGCATTAATCGCTGCTCGTGATGCTCATGATGAAGTGACTGCAAAGGATTTTGAAAAGGCTATTGAAAGAGTTGTTGCTGGGATGGAAAAGAAAAGTCAAGTACTGCAACCTGATGAAAAAAGACAGTCGCCTACCACGAAGGTATTTTTTTCTAGTTAAATATTTCCCACGTGTATTTTTCAAAAATAATTTTCATAGCCGGACATGCAGTTGCTGGATGGTTTTTGGAATTTGCTGATCCGTTTTAAAAGTCTCAATAATGCCGCACGGCAAAGGACTTGGATATGCTCAATATATGCCAAAAGATCAATATCTTTATTCTAAAGAGCAACTGCTAGACCGCATTTGTATGACATTGGGAGGGCGCGTATCCGAAAAAACTTTTTTGGAAGAATAACTACTGGTGCACAGGATGATTGTCAAAAAGTCACTCAAATCGCATATCCGCAGGTTCATTCTCCAAATAATTTTCGCTTTATTAAAGTAATTCCATTCTTTACGTAGTTAAATTTAGTTTTGTAGATTGTCAAATTCGGAATGAGCGAGAAGGTTGGCCCCATTTCCTTTGACACGCCTCAACCTGGAGAGGTTTAAAACTTTATTTTTAGACTTAAAAAACATCTCCAACCGCTTATTTGACTGCTGGGAGAAATGTGAATGTAAAGCGTTGGTCACTGGTAATAATGCAAAGAGGGAACAATCGCTTTCTGGTTTTTTTAAATTTTCTTTAGATTATTATCTAAATTTAATAGGAATGTTACAATGTCCAGCATTGATTGATGGTCTTAATTCTAAAGGAGAACACATTTTACTTTTTTTTTGGCTCGCACCGTTGTTCGTCAGGTTTTTAATAAATTTTTGTTTATTTAAAATGCTTAATTTATGAATAGCTAATTGAACAAGAAGGCTATACAAAACGGTGTAAGCGCCCTGGACTTACTACCACAACTACAGCATATGGCGTTCCCATTCCTGAACATGATCTTGAACCACCGAAATTTGCAAGAAAAGGTTTTTTGATGAAATTTAATATGTTCAAATTTTATTTTAATTTTTAGCACTCGATTTGGCAATAGGAAATTGGGATGTTGTAAAGAGTTTGCTTGATGTTGGTATTAAAAAGCCTAATACTGAAGATGATCAACCAATTTTAGAAAATGTTTTTCATTTGCTCGAACATAATGGTTCAACACATTTGGACAAATTTGTTTTAACTTTACTTGGCTGGTGTGAAGAATCGAGCCTTGACACTCTTCTTAATTTACTTGTACGCCAAGCCAACAAACAATAAAAGAAATGGGATGAAGAAGTCCATTTTTTAATTTAAAGATTTGTCCGTTCAGTTATTCGTCTTTTTGTTATGGTGATTTTGCTTTCACCAGAGGCTAATGGAACTTTACTCGGTTTGAAGAAATTTTCTTTTTTTTTATATTTTAACACACTTTCAGCAACAATTTTTGATGATATTAACAAAGCAATCCCAGCACCCGATGATCCCAGCGATTCTTTAAACAATTACCGAGCTGCTGCTATTTCTGGTGTATTTTCATTAGTTCGTGCTAGTCTACCTGCCGCTCTTTCTTTCAATTCATCACTCGAGAAAAAGGATCAAAAGAAGCATAAAGTTATTGCCTGTGTAGCAAAATGTCGACGAGTATTTCAGGTTATTTTACACTTTTTTTAACAGAAATTTTTAGGCATTAATTAGTTATTCGTTGCTGGAATTGATTGGAATTACGGATGCGTTAATTTCTCCGATTCGTCTTGGAATTGTTAAACCTTCAGCCAGCATTGTCTCAAATGAAGATGTTTTGGAAGTTTTACAGCAACACTTGTCCAACGAGCAAGATTTGTCTTCATTAATTCGTATCTCAATGCAAATGGTGATCGAAATGAAACGTCTGCTGGTGTAGTCAACAATGCAAGTATTATACAGTTGGCTGATTTACGACGAGGTGACACGTCAAGCGACAGACATGGCATTGGAGCGTGCTAGCGATGATGATATGTCAAGTATATTTATCTTTATCAGTTTATCTTTTAATTGTTTTCTCACACTAGATGAAGATGATGACGATAAAGAAGATTTGGATGCGCCAGCAACAATTTCTAGAACTCGTGAGAATAGCAATACTTCATTTAATGCTCGTGAAAGAACAATCTCTGAGCAAAGTCGACGTCGTCAAGAAAATGCTACTGGTTTAGATGAGAGTTTGGATGAACATGAAGGGGTTTGTTTAGTCGCGAAATTTTGTTAAAAATATTTTTTATCGTTAGGAAGATGGATCTGGAAATGATCACAATGTCATGACGATGGCGAAGTTGAGCCATATTTGGGCATCCACGACGATGACGACAATGATGCTGGCGAAAGTGATGTGCACAGTATATGGTGGAACTGTTGCGGATGGACTGAAAGTCAACTGCGAATAGACTAAAATGATCAAAATATGTAAGATGATGAATTGTTAAAGATGAGAGAAGCTAAAAAATGTGGCAAAGATGCTGCAGCCGCATTTAAAGGTCTAATTTTTTTAATAACAAGTACATATGTTTTTTGAGTGCTTTTCCGTTTACACGGCAAATTTTATTTCTGTTTCAATTATTATTAATTTCCAAAATTACAAAGACAAAGCTTTTAAAGAATTAAGCAAAACACGAAAAATTTAAAGTGTAAGTGAAAAACGGAAAAGTACAAATCTGTAACACTTGTAAAAAAGGGTTGAGCGGTTTTTATTGTAGGAAGTTCGAAAACCGGCTTTTCTTTACAAGGGGTATATTTTTTCATTTTTTGTTTATTGTTAGTAATTTTTTTGGGTTCCCTTTCCCTTCCTCCC